GCCATGCTGTGTGCGCCGCGCCCCCTTCCCCGAAGCCCAGGCCCCCACCCGCCGCGCTCCGTCTCCTCCGCGCATGCGCGCGCCCCCTCCCGCCCGCGTCTGCGCAGCGAGGGTCGCTACCCTGCGCGAAGTGCGCCGTTCGGGTTCGTTGGGCTCCCACCTTGCGGCACGACGACCGTCTTCCACCCGCTCCTCTTCAGAGTGCCCAACTTTTTTGATGGATTTATGAAATATTGTTAGAGTCGAAGCCGCGATTCAAGGCTGGTGTCAGAGGCCTTTTACGAAAATGGTGGAGAGTTACTGCAGAACAACGGATTTGGGGCGAACCATGATGTAGGTATCTCAGAAGCATGTTCACCAAAACATTCTTACCGAAATTAAGTTTATTGTCCGAGTTAGTATTGGAGTCTGGGTTGAAAATGTAGGAGAAAGGTAATACCTAATAGGAAAAGGCTTGGACGGACAGGCTCCTCCAGAGCCACCCACTCACCTCTCCTGTCCTGTCGTCATGTCCTCTTCTTGGGGTGCTCTTGATGTCCTCCAAAAGAAGGCTAATCGTATTCCCCTTTCAAGATTCAGCTTAGGTGACACTTGCCTCCTGGCACCCAGTTATCGGAGGCACCCAGTTATTGGAGGCCCGAGGTAGTGATCTTCTTGTCGGCTTCCCCAATACCTTGGACTTCTTTGAGGGCTGGAATGGTGGCCTAATGGCGTGTATGGATTGTAAGGTAGTTAACACCATGTAACACCTAAGTAAGGAAAAAAGGAATTCACAATAGGATCCCAATATCAACTTCCAAGTATTTGCCTATATACTGTACACAGATCTTCCAAGCACCTATGAATTGGCAGTTTCCTCGCCACTGTGGTTATTCTAGAAGGGTTTGACAACTTACTGAAGGTCTTTCTAAGACTAACGCTTTCTTTTTTCACACCTATTTACCACCTCATTTGCTTCCCAGAGAACACATTTCGATTTCCCGGTTAACAGAGACATCTTACTCTTTTGTCCTGGCTTGAGTTCTTCAGTCCCCAACACAGTGCCTTATGCTCAGTGGGCACCTAATGGATGGTTGCAGATTCCTCTTACTAAGTAAGTCAGTGATGCCCCTTGGCTAAATCAGTAGAAAGTGACCATGCATGGCACCCAGGGCACCTGAGACCACTATAAGCGCTACTCCAGGTCTTACGTCTTTCCTTTCTTTTCTACTTTGTTTCTGCACCTTTCCTCCTGGCACCCAGTTATCCGAGTCCCAAAATAGTGATCTCCTTACAGGCTTCCTTGCAATTCTTTGTATTCTCTTTAGTCCACTTTTCTAAACTTTTACTCCCATTCTGTTGAGGCTTTTTGGGTGGGCACCAAGGGGTAGGTTGTGGATAGTCGTCCTATTTGGCTTGGGCATCATATTCACAAAGATTCAAAGTAGACTCCAATGTTATTTCCAAAAGAGATATACATGGCAGCTGAGAACGATGTTGATGTTCTTTTTGCAACATTACTTATGAACTTTAAAAACCTAACCGTGAATCTATAACTTTAAAAAATCTAAAATATACTGTAATTTAGTAACCCAGTTTGGGCATTTCTCCATTTTTTTTCCCATTTTTTTGAAAGTCTAAGAAATTGGAATTAGCCAGGCTCTTACTCAACTTCTGAAATTAACTTTCTATTTCCTCTTCTGACTCTAGTTGCTTTTTCTCCTGCTTCTTGTTCATGCCAATTAGTGGAAGGCATGGTTGTTCTCTGAAATCCTTTAGTGCTAGAGTAAACACCTTGAACTTTAATAAGTTCTCTTCCTTGGCCATGTGTCAATATTTTTTAAAAGATAGAGACCACTTACAGTGAACAGAAGAGTATCAGGTCACTTGTCAGAACTCAATCATAGAATATGGCTGGGCAAAACAAAGCAGGAGGGAGTACAGCTGTTACCTGCAGTTGCATGTAGCCCAGCACTGCTGTCAGTCAGCTGAGCTCAGAGGAGCTCCTACTCTCCTGAAAAGGAGCTGGTAGTGGCTGGCAGAGCAGGAGAGATCTGATTAGGCAATCAGAAGGGTGTGGATTTTTATTTAAAACTAGTGACCCAGTGCATGGATTCATGCACATTGAAAGGAAATTAATTAGAAGGTGGCCAGCGGGCAGGACTGGGAGAGAAGAGCCAACCTCCCGCAGCCCCTCCCCAGCATCTGTGGAGTGAGGGGGGGCGGGGGGTCTCCCCAGCAGGTGGGATCCCCCGGGCTGGCCTGTGGGGATCCCGCAGAAACTGGCTCTCTAAGATCTCCTGAGGGGTCCCGGAGTGTGAGAGGGCATGCTGCAAAGTTGCTGTCGTACAAGGTGTGGAATGCAAGTGTGCAGTATACCAGATTCGGGGCCGACAGTGCCCCAGCAACAACATAACCCACAGCGAAGGTGGAATCGTGCAACCCTGTGAGGAATCAGGCTCCCTCCTCTCTGGTTTTGGAGTGTGTCACCCAAGAACCACCAATGCCAAGTCACTGCAGCTCAGCAGCTCCTGCATTGAGCGTCTGCCCCCTGGTGGCCAGTACACGTCATAGCAACTGGTCGGAAGGTAGGAGGGACACTTAGCATATTAGCCATTTATATATATAGACTCAAGGCCTGGTGCACGATTCATGTACCAGTGGGGTCCCTTGGCCTGGCCTGCGGGATCGGGCCGAAACTGGCTCACCGACATCCCTGAGGGCTCCTGGATTGTGAGAGGGTGCAGGCCAAGCTGAGGGACCCCATCAGTGCATGATCAGGGCCAGGGAGGGACACGGGAGGTTGGCCAGCCAGGGAAGGACTGCAGGAGGGCTCCAGGGTATGTCCGGCCCGTCTTGCTCATTCCCAGTTGGCCGGACCCCAACAGCAAGCCAACCTATTGGTCAGAGTGCCTGTCCCCTGATGGTCAGTGCACATCATAGAGACTGGTTGACTAGTTGACTGTCTGCCCCCTGGTGGCCAGTGCATGTCATAGCAAGCAGTTGAGCGGCCTTAGCATATCATTAGCATATTACACTTTGGTTGAATGGATGACTAGATGACCAGACACTTAGCATATTAGGCTTTTATTATATAGAATTGTATTGAATTTTTGGGGGTGACATTTGTTAATAAAAAGATATAGGCTTCAAGTGTACAATTCTATAATACGTCACTTGTACACCTGTACCTAAAGTTAAGTCTCCTTCCGTCACCATTTATCCCCCTTTAACCGTCTTCTACCTCACTCAACCCCCCTTTTCCTCTGGCAATCAACATACTATGGTCTGTGTCTTTGAGTTTTTGTTTTTGTTTTTTTCTTAATCTCATCACCCTTTTCACTCAGCCCCCCAATCTCCTCCCCTCTGATAGCTGTCAATCTGTTCTCTGTATCTATGAGTTTGGCTTGTTTCACTTAGCATAATACAGTGGAACTGGGTTTTCCAATTTAATTCATTTCAGAAGGTTGATGGAGAAGCGATTTGCTAGAAAACCCATTAGAAATAATGTAAATTGAATTAATTTGTTTCAAATCCCCGAAATGACTCCGGTTTAACCTTTCTTATATACAGTACATGTCTGATGTACTGTTTTAAACAAACACTTCTTAAATTAATCAAACCAACCCCTACTAGCCTTAAACAAATTACTTTCAGCATTCATTCCAGAGGTGTCTTTTAGGAAGTCAGTATGTGGCACTTTATCAAATGCTTTTTTTGCATCTATTAATATCAGCATGTGATTTTTATTTGGTTTATGTGGTATATCACATTTATTGATTTGCACACATTGTACCAACCTTGTATCCCAGGAATAAATCCCACTTATCATGATGTATGATCTTTTTAATGTATTGCTGGATCTGATTTGCTAATATTTTTTGAGGATTTTAGCATCTATGTTCACCAGGGATATTAGTCTATAATTTTCTTTCTTCATATTTGTAGTGTCTTTTTCTGGTTTTGGAGTTAGGATACTGCTGGCCTCATAAAATGAGCTTGGGAGTGTTTCTTCCTCTTGAATTTTTGGAATATTTGAGAAGGATAGGTTTCAATTCTTTGAATGTTTGGTAAAATTCACATGTGAGCCATTCAGTCCAGAAGTTTCGTTTGCTGGGAGTTGTTGTTTTTATTACTGCTTCAATTTCATTAGTTATAATCAGTCTATTCAGATTTTATGATTCCTCTTGATTCAGTTTTGGAAGATTGCACATTTTTAGGAATTTATGCATTTCATCCAAATTGACCAATTTGTTAGCATATAGTTGTTCATAATATTTTCTTATAATCCTTTGGATTTCTGTGGTGTCAGTTGTTACTTCTCCTCTTTCATATCTGATTTTATTTGGGTCCTCTCTCTTTTTTTCTTGATGGGTCTGGTTAAATGTTTGTCAATCTTGTTTACCTTTTCAAAAAACAAGCTCTTGGTTTCATTGATCTTTTGTGATGTTGTTGTTTTTAGACACCATTTCATTTATTTCTGCTCTGGTCTTTAATATTTCCTTTCTTCTACTCACTTTTGGCTTTGTCTGTTTTTCTTTTTCTGGTACCTTTAAGTGTAAAGTTAGATTGTTTATTTGAGATTTTTTGTTTCTTGTAATGCCATGAATTTCCCTCTTAGGACTGCTTTTGCTGTGTCCCATAGATTTGGGGTTGTTGTGTTCTCATTTCAATTTGTTTCACGGTATTTTTTTTCTTTTTCTTTGATCTCATTAATATAGGCTTCAAGTGTACAATTCTATAATACGTCACTTGTACACCTGTACCTTCCGTCACCATTTATCCCCCTTTAATCGTCTTCTACCTCACTCAACCCCACATGTTATTTAGCCTCCATGTCTTTGGGTATTTTACAATTTTTTGTGTGTGATTGATTTCTAGTTTTATACCATTGTCTTGATATGATTCAGTCTTAAATTCATTGAAACATGTTTCGTGTCCTAATGTGAGGTCTGTCCTAGAAAATGTCTCATTTGTACTTGCACAGAATATGTATTCTGCTGCTTTGGGGTAAATTGCTCTGAAAATATCAATTAAGTCTCTTTCATCTAGTGTTTCATAAAAGGCTGTTGTTTCCTTGTTGATTTTCTGTCTGGAGGATCTATCCATTGATCTCAATAGGGTGATAAAATCTCCTACTCTGACTATATTATTGTCAATTTCTCTCTTTATTTCCATAAATAATTGCTTTATATCTTTAGGTGTTTCTTCAAATGTATATAAGGGTTATAGCCTTTTGTTGGATTGCTCCCTTTATCATTATATAGTCTCCTTTGTCTCTTACTATAGCATTTGTTTTAAAGTCTGTTTTGTCAGATATAAGTATTTCTACCCCAGGTTTTTTCCCCTTTTCC